CAGGGAAGGTGATCCAAGAGGGGAAGCTCTCTTCATGGGGAAGCCATGCTTGACCAGAGAGCAGCCGCCGCAAGGTGAGACAGACAAGGACAGACATGGAGGTGCTCCAGGCAGTGTGCCACCTAGACTTTAAGGTTCCCTCAGAATGCCCCTCTGTTTGTTGAAACATCTCAACTGGTATTCCATCAATTTCCTGGAGCCTTTTTTTTTTTTTGCAGTGCCTTCAGTGCAGATTGGATTGCACTGATGGAATACCAACTGAGATGTTTCAACAAATAGATGCAGTACTGGAGGTGCTCACTCATCTATGTCAAGAAATTTGGAAGACAGCTTCCTGGCCAACCGACTGGAAGAGATCCATATTTATGCCCATTTCAAAGAACGGTGATCCAACAGAATGCAGAAATTATTGAATATCACTAATATCACATGCAAGTAAAATTTTGCTGAAGAGCATTCAAAAGCAGTTGTAGCAGTACATCGACAGGAAACTGCCAGAAGTTCAAGCTGGATTCCAAAGAGGATGTGGAATGAGAGGTATCATTGCTGATGTCATATGGATCCTGGCTAAAAGCAGAGAATACCAGAAAGATCTTTACCTGTGTTTCAGTGACTATGTAAAGGCATTTGACCATGTGGAGCATAACAAATTATGGATAACACTGTGAAGAATGAAAATTCCAGAACATTTAATTGTCCTCATGAGGAACCTGTACATAGACCAAGAGGCAGTCATTCAAACAGAACAAGGGCATACTGCATGGTTTAAAATCAGGAAAGGTATGCATCAGGATTGTATCCTTTCACCATACTTATTCAATCTGTATGCTGACCAAATAATCCAAGAAGCGAGTCTATATGAAGAAAACCGGGGCATCAGGATTGAAAGAAGATTCATTAACAACCTGCAATATGCAGATGACACAACCTTGCTTGCTGAAAGCAAAGAAGACTTGAAGCACTTACTGATGAAGATCAAAGACTACAGCCTTCAGTATGGATTACACCTCAACATAAAGAAAACAAAAATCCTCACAACT